CCCGGTCCACTGCACCTGCTGTGCTAATGCCTTGAATGCACTTCCCCCTCTTCTCTGCCTGGCAAATTCTGCTCATCCTTCAGCGCTCAGGTTGAAAGCGAACTCTCCCTCCCAGACCCCAGCAAACGGTGAGGTGCAGAAGCACCACCGTCTGCACCTTGCACGTGGCCTGCTGTTTCCTCCAACAGAAAAACACCCTCAGCTCTGGGTGCCAGCACCAAACCCAGTGCCTGGCACCTAGGAGATGACGAATAGAAGCTTGTGATGCTCACAGTCTAGGAAGAAAGGTCACCATCGGAACACAACGCAGATCAGAGATGGTCCCAGGGCAGTGGGAGCACAAGGGAGTGGCTTCCCAGAGGAAGCAGCCGCCGGGCGACCCTGTGGTCAAGAATAGAAGCACTCCAGCAACGGGCAGAGGTGGTGTTCCCGGCTGGAGGGCGGCCATGAGCAGAGGTGTGGGGGACAGGACGTAGGATTGTGGAAGAATTTAATAACAGCAGCCGATACGCACTGGGTGCTTCCCATGTGCCAGACACCATGCGAAGCTTCTAACTAACTTAACATCATGGGAAACAGCTCCCAAGAAAGGCAAGCTGCGGCCAGCCTTCGGAGAGCAAGCCTCTGTCCTTCCTCTCATGGCAGCGGGAGCCACGGATGGTTAAGACAAAGAGTCACTAAGACCTCCATCACGGCAGGGCTCTCTGCCTGTCCCCTGGATGAGAACGGATGAGGCCTCCTGGCCAGGCTCAGAGACCACTGACTCGAAGTCTCCTCCATGACCCCCTGGCCCTGGTACTGGGGAGGGGAGAGGCCAAGGTCAGTGGGCGTGCCCCAGCTGAAGAGGTGGCTCAGGATAATGCCCAGGCGTCCACCCGCCTCCCCACCCACCCTCCAGCTTCAGCCCACAGTCTCACTGCCCCCCTGCTGCCAGCCTGGGTGAGCAAGGCTACAAGGACCTCAACCCAATCAGCACCCAAGCAGAGGGGGGAACTTTGGCCCTGAGAGCCCATCCCAACTCCTGTCCTCTCAGTCAAAACAGAGAACCAGGCCTGGGGGGCTGGGGCTCGACATGGGTGCTGGGACTGTCCTGGCTGCGTCGAGGCGGCGTGGAGAGGCCTGGGCAGACCTGGCAGGCCGGACGCTGGGCCCGGCTATGCTGCCCAATGGCCTTCCGGCTGGAGCAACACAGTCCAGTTCCAAACCCCAGCATGAACTGCGCCCGAGACCGGGCCGAGCGAGCTGGCTGCCTGATTCTCAGTGCCCGCACCCACAGACCAAGGATGGTGGCGGCACCTGTCTCCCACTTTGCCCATGAGGGTCAGACGAATGTAAAGACGGTGCAGGTAGGGGAACCAGAGGGCTCCGGGGGCCTCCCACCTGCAGGCCTGTCCCAGGGGAAGAAGAATTCTGTTTCTTAATAGAATGGACGAGCACATAGAAGCCTGTCTCCCTTCCAGTGAATCCAACTACGGTGACCCCGTGTTTCAGGCACGTGCACACGGGTTCTCTCGCTGGGGTACGGACAGAAGAGTTTTGGCAGGACTCTGGGGCCAGAAGGCCTGGCTACTCCACTTCCGGTCCTCAGCAACCCCCTCTGCGTCTACCTGTTTCATTGTACAATTCAGCCAGTTAAAACATGGCGCTCTTATGCCCTAGCCAGTTTGGCTCAGTGGATAGAGCATCAGCCTGCAAACTGAAGGGTCCCAGGTTCGATTCCGGTCAAGGGCACATGCCCGGGTTGTGGGCTCGATCCCCAGTGGGGGACTTGCAGGAGGCAGCTGATCCATGATTCTCTCTCATCTCTCTTTCCCTCTTCCTTCCTCTCTGAAATCAATAAAAATATTTTTTTAAAAAACAAACCATGGCGCTCTTAGAACAGTGCCTGGTAAGAATTAAGTGCCGGTGAACATTAGACAGTCACTGTTATCAGGTGTGACTCAGGACAAGCCACCCCTCTGCGCGCAAGGCTTCTCCGCCTGCTTCACACCCACAGTCCATTCACCACCACGGCTTCCCCAAGGACCCAGTGAGCAGCCTGCACAGGCCTCCACCCTGCCTCAGCACGCCCCTCCCTTCCCTGCAATCCCAGCGTGGGGGCAACTCCACCCTCCAACCGGGTTTCAGGCTTTTTTTTTAAATAACATTTTATTATTTTTCCATTAGAGTTGAGGTTTACAGATGTCCTCTCTTTTCCCCCCACTAACTCCCTCCACCTCCCCTCCCTCCCCAGGCCTTCCCAGCACTATTGTCTGTCCGTGAGCTATGCATGTAGGCACATAAGTTCATTGGTTAATGTCTTCCCGCTCCCCCTTCCCTCTGAAATACATCAGTCTGTTGCCTGCTTCGGTGCCTTATTGCCAAGTCCTGCGCTTCCTGAAGACACACATCAGGCAGCCCCTCTTCAGGACTTCCCTGCCCACCTCCCTGAGGGACCAAGTAACTTCTCTGAGCCCCCACAGCCCCGGGCTACCAGCGCTTGGCACCTGGGCTCGCTGAGGGCAGGGTCCAGACCAGGTCCCTCTCAGTCCGGGCCTCAGCACCCAAGCGAGCAGCAGGGGACAGAGGAACGTGGTATGGGCAGGGCTGCCTGCTCCAACCTCCTGGGACTCCTGGGTCTCCAGCAACACAATCCAACTGCCCCCCGACCCTGCCTGTGGGCAGTGAGAGGATGGGGTAACCTGTCCGCCAGGTGAGGGCTCCCACTCCCTCCCCCAGGATCAGGTCAGGAGGTCAGGTCACGGGAAGGCAGGCGGGGCAGGCAGTCCTTCACTCTGCCAGCTCGGGCAGTGGTGGCCCAGTGGCCTGGATGAGTGCCCCAGCCCCAACCCAGGGCACTGTGGGAAGATCTCTGGGCAGCGTACATGGCTGCTTTGTTTAGCTCAGGGACCCAGAGACCTGAGCAAGCCACACCGATGACCTCACTTAATCCTGCCAGCAACCCTACGGAGACATCTATTACTCCCCCCATGTTGAGAAGGGGAAACTGAGGCATGGGGAAGTTATAACTAGACAAGGGTTGCACAGCGGGTGGGTGGTACAGTCGGGCAATGACCTATTCAAGCCCCTGGGCAAACCGAAGGGGGCCATGGGTCCTGAGGCTAGGGCAGTGGTCGGCAAACTCATTAGTCAACAGAGCCAAATATCAACAGTACAACGATTGAAAGTTCTTTTGAGAGCCACATTTTTTTAACTTAAACTATATAGGTAGGTACATTGTGATTAACTTAATTAGGGTACTCCTAAGCTGGCCTTTGCTAAAAACGTCCTCAATCTGAGGGGTCGACCTCAGCAAACGTACCCCCACTTCTTCTAACGCCACTTCTTCAAAATAGACTCGCCCAGGCCGAAAACCGACTTCTGCGCATGGGCCACGAAGTTTCAATCGCACTGTATGTGCGCGCCCGTGGTCATCCACGTGGTATTTTGTGGAAGAGCCACACTCAAGGGGCCAAAGAGCCACATGTGGCTCACAAGCCGCGGTTTGCTGACCACTGGGCTATGTGAACAAGTGCGGGCAGGGGCGGGACCTGGCCAGGGCCACAGCACCTGGTCCTCTCCCCACACGCCCCTCCATACTCAGCGCCTCACTGTCTCCCCGCCTGTCCACCGTCCATCTATTCGTCAGCCTGCCCCAGCACCCGCACTGCCCCCTCCTCTGCCCTGCCCCAAGGCCCCAGGAGCCAGCAGGGCAGGGGAGACAGGGCTGAGAATACCCAGCATGGAGTGAGCACTGAACACAAGTGGGAGATTAAAGTGACTCAGACCAGCGTCACCAACCAATGGTCCGCGGACCCCTGGTGGTCTGTGAGGTCCGAAAGCTTGGCGACCACTGATTTAGATGGCCCTGGCCAGTGTGTTCAGTGGTTAGAGCATCAGCCTGGCACCGAAGGATGGAGATTTGATTCCCAGTCAAGAGCATGTACTGTGGTTGCAGGTTCAATCCCCAGCCCTGGTCAGGGCCCGTGCAGGAGGCATCCAAGTCTCTCTAGCTCTTCTCTCTCTCTCCCTCTCTCCCTCCCTTCTATTCTCTCTAAAAATCGATGAAAAAAAATACTCTCAGGTGAGGATTAACCCAAAAAATGTGACTTAGACAGAAGGAAGGCACCCAGGAACCCCCACTCCACCACTCAGAGGCGTTGGGACAAATTCCTGACTCCGAGCCTCGTGTTCCTTATCTGAATAAGGGGGCTAGAAATGCCAGCCTCAGGCCACTCTGAGAATTAAGCAACAAGGGCAACAATAACATTAGCTCAGAGCTGGCACTACCACTCACTCTGAGCCACTCTAATAGGAATACAGGAACCCCCACAACGACCTAAGGGGACAGGCACAGTTGTGATCCCATTTTACAGAGCAGGAAACTGAGGCACTGGGAAGCTAAGTCACATGCCCAAGATTCCACAGTGGAGCAAGATTTCAGCTGACTGACAATGGGTCTCCCGCACTGTACTGTCACACGGCCCCAGGACACATGCCCCGCACCTCACCTCCCTCTCTGCCTGTCCCTCAATCTCTTTCTCTCTCCGTCCCCCACCTCTGCCTCCATCCTGACCTGTGTTCTCCCCCATCTCCCTCCTCCTCCTCGGGAACAGCACGGGCATCAGAGGCGGCCCCCTGATCACACGGCTCCTGCTCCCTCTGCCACATCCCGGCGCCCCCTGGACGAGAGCCAAGACCCCTTTGCAGGCCTGAGCTGGAGGGAGGAAGGGCCAAGTCAGGCAGGAAGGGAGGTGCCTCCACCCCTTCCCTCAGAAGCACGTCCTGCACAGGGAGAAACAATGTCACGCTGGGCCCACTGCCGGGGCGGAGGGTGGGGGCAGGGCTCTGGACTCGGGCCTGGCCAAGCTGCGTCCAGGGGGCGGGCGGCCCCGGTCCTGCTCTGCCCTGGTTTCCTGGTGACCTGTGCTCTGTATCCAGCACCCCCACTTTCCAGCTCTGACCTCAGTGCTTCCTACGCCCTTTCCAAAACCCACGTCTGATCAGGTCACCGTGGACTTGGGCCAGGGCACTTCCCAGCTGTGTCACCCCGGGCAAGGCGCTTAACCTCTCTGAGCCCCAGTTTCTTCCCTAGGAAACCGGGATAATCATAATAGCGCCTGCCTCCAGGGACAGAGAGAATGCCCGGAGGCAGCCAGCAGCGGGCCTGCAGTTAGGAATAGCTAATCCCTCGCAGGTTTCCCAGAGTGCCCCAGCCAAAGTCCACACTTTTCCAGCCTGACTCAGAGCCTGCTGTGGCTTGGCCTTCCTCCTCCCCCACCCCTACCCCCACGTGCACCAGTCAACACCAAACTCCAAGCCCATCCCAAACAGCCTCTGTTCTCTGCCTCTTCCAGCCATCCAGCTGCCCTCCCTACCTGCCCTCTCTCCGTGGCTGAGTTCAAAGGCCACACTGTCAGCCCAGCCTCCCTCTCTCCCCTCCTGAGGTCCGCTCCAAAGCCTGGCCGGGGAGGCCCTTCGCGACCAACACACAGAGCTCACTGCCTCCAGCAGGCTCTGAGCCCATGTGCTTCTTGGCTCCTGAGGGCCCCACCCCACCCACAGCTCGAAGCTTTGTTGGGCGGGAGCTCAGAGCTGGAGGACAGGCATAGGGTCGGTGCCCGTACAAGTACAACTACCATTAACTCAGCATCTACTACGTGCCTGGCAAAGCTAGGTGCTTGGCTGACATGAGTCCTACGCCTCACACCACCCACAGGCAGAAGAGAGAGCTCACTGTTCCCATTGAGGAAACTGAGAAAGGTCACACAGATGATAAACGGTGGCGACGGGGTTGGAATCCAAGTGACAGTTGCATAAACCAAAGGCTTAGCTCGGCTCCCTCCCACCTCGCCCTGCTCGCCCTGCTCCAGGCCCTGAGACGCAGGCCCCCACCTCCCCCCACCCAGGCGGCGTCCGTACCTGCCCAGGAGATCCAGGCCGCAGCCTCTGGCCAGGAGACCGTCCGGCTTTCCCAGCGGCCACACGCTGTCGGAGGATGAGGATGAGGAGAGGCCGGGGGACCAGGGTTTAAGCGTTACACTCCCTGGGGAGAAGGAGTGAGGTTCAAGGGCGCTGGACTGAAACACGAGGGAGGGCCCGAGACCACCCACGGCCCAAAGGCCTGGGGCCCAGGCAGGTTGGAGGCCCCAAGAACACACGGGACCCACTGGGCTCAGGGCTGGGCCGGCGCCTGCCAGGATGGCCCTGCAGTTTCCTAGAAGAGGGTGAAGGGTGGACCAGAACTGAGGGCTGAGCTCAGGGTAAACCCACTCCCCCAGACGCCTCCTGAGGGGAGCCTTCCTGCCTGTCCAGGGCACAGCTGGGCCTGGGGGAGGGAGTCACAGGCCAAGGGCAGAGCAGGCAGCATAGGCCTCAGGTAAACTGAAAAGCTCTCCTCCCCCCGACCCCCCACCCCCGCCCCGTGAGCCCTCCCCATGGAGTGTCCGAGGGCCCTTACCTGTGATGTCGGACATGCTGCTGAAGGACCTGGGCAGAGAGAGGACGGGCGGGAAGGGCAGGAGCTGAGCATCCGTGGGTATCTGCCCCACTCCCTCCTCCTGCCCCTATGCCACCAAGCGGTCCTGCAGCCCCCAAGCACAGGCAGGCTAGAGCAGGTGGGAGTCCCAGGCACAGGGCACGCATGCCACCCGGCTCCCCTCAACTCACAGGGCAAGAAGGTAACACCCTGGCCGCAGCCCCATGGCCTTCCACCTAGAATGCCCCGGCCTGTTCTTTAATGCCACCCCCTCCAGGAAGCCTCCCCTGACCTCTCACCCCCATCTCATCCTCACTTTCTACATTGTCGTTGGTGGCTCCTGGGCTGCCTCTCACACTAGATCAAGCAAGTCAAACTCGCGGCCATGACATGCTCGCACTAGATCAGTGGTTCTCAACCTTCTGGCCCTTTAAATATAGTTCCTCATGTTGTGACCCAACCATAAAATTATTTTCGTTGCTACTTCATAACTGTAATGTTGCTACTGTTATGAATCGTAATGTAAATATCTGATATGCAGGATGGTCTTAGGCAACCCCTGTGAAAGGGTCGTTCGACCGCCAAAGGGGTCGCGACCCTCAGGTTGAGAACCGCTGCACTAGATCATGACCTCCTCGTCACACACCCACTCCTGGCAGATTCACCCGTCGGGGATCAAGCCCGTGACTGGGACCTACACCAGGAAGGGCAGGTCGTCCCCACCCTCGGTCCTGCCACCGAGGACATGGCCGCCTTTTCTGGCCCCATTGGCTGCTGATGCCCACACCTGAGGCCAGCTTTCTTGCCTGAGGCCCCGACACCTGGAAATATTCTCTGCAAGCCCCCTCCGTCCTAGACCAGGGGTGGGGAACCTTTTCTCTGCCAAGGGCCATGTGGATATTTATAACATCATTCAAGGGCCATACAACATTATCCACTTAAAAGTTAGCTGCTCTGTTTGGTCAGACATTTAATTAACTCACCCCTAATGGCTTGGCAGGGCCAGACCAGATGGCTTCACGGGCCTGATACAGCCCATGGGCCAGGCGTTCCCCCCTCCTGGCCTAAATCATCAGGCTTCCCCTGGGTTGAGCAATTTTGCGGTTCAGTTTCTAGTGACTCAGCTGCCAGAGTGTTGGGTTGGGGCTGAGCCCATTCTGCCCTTTGGCCTTGTCTTAACCTCTGACCTCAGTCACGCCTATGCTCTCAGGGCCCGGGTTCCCAGCGTTCTAGCCATTTAAAGGCAGCTGGGGAGGTGACCGCCTAGTGTTGACGCTGGCATGAGGGATTCTGGGAGGTGGCTGCGCCTCTGTCGCTCTTTCCAGCCTGTTTACCTTTTGGGGTTTTTTTTTTTCACATCGATCGGTTGCCTCCCAGGCCGAGGATCCAGCCAGCAACCGAGGTATGTGCCCTCGACTGGAATCGAACCCAGGACCCTTCAGTCTGCAGGCCGACTCTCTATCCACCGAGCCAAACTGGCTAGGGCCTGTTTACCTCTTAGCAGGTGCAGGGTCCTCCTCGCGCTGCCGGCGGAGGATGGAGCCTGCGCTGGGAGGGAAGGGCAGGATGGACAGCCGGTTGATCTCTTTCTCATTGTCTGTAGCCTCCTCCTGCAACGTCACGACAGGGCCTGGGTCACCCCCACTGCACCTTCCCCCAACTCAATGCACCTAGGTCTGTGCCCATTCCACAGATGAGAACTGGGGCCCAGAGCGGAGGAGTGAGCTCCACAAGATTACAGTGTGAGTGGCCCCCAGGTCTCCTGGTACCAGGCCCAGCTGGCTCTGGATAAGCTTAATAAGGTGCTTACCTTTGTGGGTCTCAATTTCCTCCTATGTGAAATACATTCCACGGTATGTGCAAAGGCCCTGAGACAGGGCTCTGACACCTTCCAGGAATTCAAAGGCTGAGACCCAGAGAACCAGGCTAAAGGGAGGGAGGGGCCCACCCTAAGGGCCTCTGGGGCCTAGTAAGGGCTTTGTCAGCAAACTGGAGGGCACTCCCCATGTCAGTAATTATGTGAACACTATCAGTGTCCCCCCATACTCAGGTGGGCAGGTGTCTTACCGAGATGTGGGGCTCGGATCCCCCCAGGACAGTGGCCTCCCCGGCTGCATCTGGGCCTCCAAGCGGGGAGGGGAACTCGCTCAGGCTCCAGGTACTGCTGAGGTTGGAGCACAGGGAATGGGAGGAGGTGCAGGCCTGGGAGAGGAAGGGGGAGGGATGAGGTCAGCAGTGCTGGGCCAGGGCCAGCCCCAGTCACTTAGTGAACGCCTGCCCTCACGGAGCGGAGCCCTCAGCCCAGAGGACACAAGCTGTAAACAAGCAGACAGATGAAGGAAATAGCCCTACACTGCCCGGAGCGGAGCGCAGGGAAGGCACTCAGAGGCCCACCCAGCCTGGCAGCATCAGCGTGCTTTCCAGAGCAAGTGTGCTTTAAACGGAGAACTCAAGGATAAGCAGGCGCTAAATAGATAAAGTTGGGGGGGATGGCCCAGCGGTTCTCAACCTGTGGGTCGCGACCCGTGAAAATACATCCTGCATATCAGATATTTCCATTACGATTCATAACAGTAGCAAAATTACAGTTATGAAGTAGCAACGAAAATAATTTTATGGTTGGGGGTCATCACAACATGAGGAACTGTATTAAAGGGTCGCGGCATTAGGAAGGTTGAGAACCACTGCTCTAGGCAGACAGAACAGTACTATGTGCAAAGGCCCTGAGTCAGGACTGTGACACCTTCCAGGAGCCCAGAGGACCAGGCTAGAGGGAGGGGAGGGCCCCCCTGAAGGGCCTCTAGGGCATAGGAAGGGCTTTGTCTTTACCTAAGAGCAAAACACCCCTGAGGGTTTTAAAAAGTGAGAGGTCACAGACTCACACTTCCTTTGTTCTGTTCCTCCGGGTATTAATCACCTGGCCTGTTGATTATCTCCAAGGAAAATCAAGATAAGAAAAGGCAGAGTTCCTGACAGACGTCCAAGAACTAGTATCTAGTTCTCAAGGGGTCTGCAGGCCCAGCTCCAGCACTGGCGGGCTGTGTGACCTTGGGCAAGCCCCTGCCCCTCTCTGGGCCGTGTGCAATGAGGGCACCGGACTAGCTGGTCTCTGAGGGGCTTTTAGGGCCCATGGTTTGCATTCCAAGATGCTCGCAGGCCCTCAGGCCGCTGGGCTTCTCCAAGTGTTTGCAAAGACAGGCTTCAAACTAGTCTTGGTGCCCCAGGAGCAAGCCCAGGAGCTCAGAGACCCACATGCCTCATGCCTCTGTCCCGTTCCCTATCCACCAACCCACACCCACCCTAGCTGGGGTCCCCCACCAGACCGGCATATCCTCCCTCCTGGCCAAGAGCTCCCTCCAAGCCAGCATGTTCTTGACCCACGTGAGGGCTCCAGCCAGGACCCACACGTTCCCTCCCAGAACCTGCATCTTCTCAGGCCCAGCTGAGCGTTCCCAGTGGATCCCATGTCATCCCACCACCGCTGAAAGCTCCCATCCATCCTGCAAGTCCCACTCCCAGCTGAGGGCTCCTGCCAGTTCCCCCATGTTCCCACCTTCAACCGAGGTCTCCCACCAGGTCCCACGAGTTCCCACCCCTGGCCAAAAGCTCCTGCCAGGGCCCCTGCACGCCAACCAGAACCCTGTACTCCTCCTGCCCATCACCTTGAGGCAGGGCCCGCCCTGGGCCCGCTGCAGCTGCGCCTCCAGCAGGGCCTTGGTGCCCTCCAGGCTGGTGAGCGTGGTCAGCAGCTCGTCCCGCTCGGCCTCCAGGCTCCGCACCTGCTTGCGGTACTGGTCCTTCTCGATGAGGCTCTGCGAGTACTGCAGCTGGATGTGGTCGCGGCTCTGGATGGCCTGGGAGGGCGAAGGCGCCACACTGACTCGGCTGGCTTGGCCTCCGACCACACAGATGGGGGTGGCAGCAGGAATAGCACTTCCTGTGCCTGACCCTGGGCTTAATATCAGCTCATTTAATCAGCACACTCACCCTCCAAGTGAGGCAGTCTCATTATTCTCATCTTGTAAATAAGGAAACCAAGGCAGCAGGGGCAGGGCTGGGATTCAAACCCAGGCAGAGTCCGGGTTCCGACCATTTCCCAAGAACAACTTAAAACTGTGAGACCTACTGTGTGTGGCCAGCTTAACTCACAGCATCCCCGCCTCGTGGAGGAGCCTGGACTCAAACCCATCCCATTGCATCCAAAGCACTTTTCCCCACGATGAAGCCCAGGGTCCCTGAGAGCTGGGCCCGTGCCTGGACCTGCCACCGACCCACTGCCCCAGAGGGAGCTGGAGACAGGCCCAGCGGCCAGGAGCAACCGGGCCAAGGGCAGATCCCTGAGCCCACCCAAACCACAGCACCAGAGTGTCCGGGACGAAGCCTGAACCCGCCTCTTCACCGAGCCCGCCAGGGGGTTCTGAGCCCCATTCTAATGTGCTGACTTCAACTCCTCTAGCGGGATTCAAACTTGGTCCGAGGACAGGACCTCCTGCCCTCCCCAGAGCGTGGGAGCCTCGCACAGGAGGCCTGGGGGCCAGAGGAGCTGCCCACCCTGTGGCCTCAGACGGAGAGGGCCGTGGTGCCCAGGGCTTGGGAGCCAGAACTTGAGAGAATTTCTTCATCAGCAAATATTTGCAAGCACCTCCCCTGCGTAGGTCTTGTTTTTGACTTGGAGAGAATAGAAATTCAGAAGTAAGGAGCGCCAGGACCAACTCCCTAACTCTCCCAGGAGCTCAGGTGAGCAGGTGTGCTCAGGGGCAAGGCTGGCATACCTGGAGTGCTCAAGGCCCCCCGTCTGTGTCCTCCTGGCCTACATGCCCCTCCTAACCAATCAGTGCCCCGTGGAAGTCTCTTTTCCACAATTCTAGTCCCGTCCGCTCCTCCTCGTCTGCCCATCCGCCGGGTCAGGACCTCAGGCACAGCAGGTGGGGCTCACCTGGTCCCGCTCCTTCTCAATCTCCTCCAGCTGGGCCAGGACGGTGGCCATGCGGTGCTTGTACAGGTCGCAGTCCTTCTGCAGCGTGCGGTGCTTCAGCCGCAGGTCCTCCATCTCCTGCAGGTACTGCGGGCGGTGGGTGGGGCGGCACAGGGTGGAACATGCCAGGGTCAGACCACAAGGTTGGTGACCAAAGAAAGCCAACCAGCAGGTGCCCAACAGGTCCAGAGAGAGAGGCCTGAGCCCTCAAAACACGCGCCCATCCAATCTCCCCACCTGGGCCTGGCTTCACCTCCCTGGGCCTCAGCTGCCTCATCTGTAAAATGGGACGACCAGTAACGATGACTCCCTCCCAACCAACCTGGGCCTCCCATCTGAACTGCAGCCTGCTCCCTGGGGCCCTGCTCTGCTTCTCCACATCCCTCATCACCCTCCCCTACGGGAAGTGGTTGACTCAGGTTGCGTGTATGGCAGACGGTGTGTCTCCCCTGCTAGAATTTACCCTCCACAGGGACAGAGACATTTCTTTTGTTCCCTGATGTATCGCAATAAATACTTGAGAACGAATGAATGCACAGTTCCCAGCCCAGTGCCTGGCACACCTGCAGGGAAGGTCGGCGCAAGTGAACTGGTGATGCCCACCGCCCTCTCCTCCCCGGAGCCTCCCCAGCTGTGTAAGAAGGAAGGTAGGGGCAGGGTAGGGTGGGGATGGTGCACGGGGGACCGTACCTTGTCCCGCAGCTCCTCGGCCCACTGCAGCTCCCCCTGCACAGTGTGCAGCTTCTGGCACAGCTCCTGTCTGCTGTCCTGCGCCTCCCGCCAGTCATGCTCCAGGATGTCCAAGAGGATGCGCTCTGAGCCTGGGGCCCCCGGCCGGCTTGTCTCCTGGGGGTCAGAGTTCAGGGCTGCCTCAGCCTCTGGCCCAGGGCCCACCTTGAGTGTCAGGGGAAGGAGGACCCGCGGCCCTCAGCCCTCAGCCCCACCCCACTAGCTCTGCCACCCGGGCCCAGGGCCTTGACCTCTCTGGACCTCGGTTTCCCAAATGTAGAGTGGGCGTGGCCCACCAGCCCTGCCCACCCTCCAGGGAACATCTGGGGTGCAGATGAGCTAAGGGTGTGAGGCATGCTTGAACGAGTTCAGCCAGGATCATGTTCCGAAACAAGAACTAGGCACGCTCTCTCCTGCTCCGGCCCCCACCAGCCGCCCAGGGCAGCAGATAGGTGGCCATTTCTAAGACCTATTCCTGCCCCTCTCACAAGGGGTCTTCGTAGGGGCTGAGCCTGTCCCCAGCAGGTAGACCATGGACCCAAGATCCACCCCCAAACCCACACCCCAGTCAGGCACCCCCAACCCTAGGAAGTACACCAGAACCCTGGCTCCCACCCCCCACTTCCTGTGTGGAGCAATGGCCGGGTGGCCAGCCCACACTGCCACTGACCTGCCCCAGGACCCCCAGCAAGCCCTGGGCCACCCAGACCCCAGGGGTCTCAACTTTCCAGACTCTTCTACAAATAATAAAAGCTGCGGCCCTTTCCCCCTAAAAATGCTCACACACAAAATCAGGTGCACAGTGGCAAAGCATCCAGAGACCTACCTCATGGGGCCACCCACAGACCATAGACTAAAGGCCAGAGAGAGCAGAACGCTCAGCCAAGACAAGAGGCCAGCCAGGGTCCATCCGATCTCACCCCAGGTGTAGGCTCCTCATTCTCTGAACCCCCTCCCCCCAGTGGCCACCTCCGAACCTGCTGCCGCCCCTCCTGCAGCTCCTGCAGGGACGCTGTCAGCCGCTGATTCTCTGCACGCAGCTCAGAGACCAGGTCCACGCTGTCCGGCTCCTTCTCCTTCTCCTTCTCCTTCTCCTCTGCCCCGGGGGGTGGCCCCCTGGTCCTGCGGAGCAGCGCACACTCTTCCTCCAGCCGGCTCACCTTCAGCTTCAGCTGATCCACCTGGGTAGCAACACATGGGTCAGCCCAGGGAGGGATGCAGCCCAGGGAAGGACCCCAGGGAGGCCCATGGGGAGAAGGCCTGCTCCTCATTCCTGGGTGCCTCCCAGATCCCCAGAGGGGCCTGAGCCGGAGTCCTCCTGGACTTGTCTATGAAGGAAGTACCGGCTGGGCAAACACGATGAGGAAGGGAGGGGGCGGCAGGGCCAAGCCGCCCTCCCAGGGGCCTCGGCTTCAAGGACTTTTGGCCTCGGTGCTTCATCAGTCCCACGGTTCCGACATGGAGAACAGGCCAGAGAGCCCAGTACCAGCTGACGGAGGAGAAGGAGGGCTACCCCGAGAACAGGGGGACCAGGGTCTGGGCCCAGCTCCGCCTCTAACTCAGTGTGGCCTTTGGCAAGTCATGGGCTCTCTTTGTGCCTCGGTTTCCTCATCTCCCAGGGAAAAGGGGGAAAAGGGGGAAGAGGAGGAAGAGGATGGTTTTGAGGGTTCCCAGGCCCCCCTCTAGAAGATTGTGCTGTTCATCCTCAACAGGAACTCCAAGCCTGGGGTCCAGGTTTCAGTTGTACCACTTTTGCCCTCTTGTCATCCTGAGCAAGTCACTGACCTCCTCTGGGCCTCAGTTTCTTTATAGGTAAAATGGGCCCGTTCATTGCCCCTGCTCCGTGCATGCGCTGCCTCCCAAAGTCATTGCAAGAAGCAAACAAGACAGAAGGTGGGCAGAGACCTTTAAGCGGTCAGAGGCTGGCTGCAGAGCTGCCAGGGGTGTGACAGTGGCTGTCTTCACAGCTTTAAAAAAAAACCCAACCTGCTACCACACGGTGGGTGCAGCCGGAGCTGGCCGGGGTGGTGGCTGGGCGGCTGTGAGGTGGCCGGCTGGCTGAGAGCAGATATGCACGATCGGTTTGCTGGATTATAACCGCACTCCGCCAGAGGTATTTTCCAAATTCATGTGGGGTCCGAGGTTGCTGAACAGTGACAAGAGGAGCAGCAGGTGGCAGGCCACAAAACGAAGTCATTGTTGAAAGAAGGCACAATGACCTCTGGTGCTACACTCTGGCGTGCCAATGTCTGGTGCCCTCGGAATGCCCTGGCCTGTCTCGGAAAATGAATGGCAGCCCCACACTTCCCAGAGCCGAGCATGGCCACACACACACCAACACACATACACACACACACACACACACACACACGGGTCTGAGGCTGGGTCAGGAGTTTCTCCTCCTCCGCAAAAGGCTCAGGAAGAAATTCATGATTCTCACATTCCTTTCCCTCACAAAACATGCTTTGTAAACTGTCGGAGAGAGACAGCTGGTTACAAGGGCAAGCGTGGTCACACCCTCTCCAGCAAACCGCAGCCACACACCACGGCCTCCCGCCTGACCCTTGGCCAGCACACTCCCGCGATGACCTCAGGGGGCAGAGCACCTGGGAATCTCTGCTGAATGCCAGGAAACGCGGATGCATTTAATCCTGGGGTACAAACTCACTTAGCACAAAATTACAGTGTTGGTTTCTTAAATTTATGTTGCTTGGGAATCGCCGCTCATTAAATTTGCACCTTACAAAGCACAGTATTAAGTCACAGCCGCCACACACCTGTCCGTGGGGAAAGGAGGCCCAGGCTGCCAAGACAGGAACCATCAGCTGTTCTACTCATTTCCATCTGCAACGCCTTTGCTCACTTTTGCGGCCGAAAAAAGCCCCCAAAATTTAGGCAAATTTACAGTAGCTACATTTAAAGAGAAACTTATCCATTAGTTGAATTTCACCCCTTACCCTCTACCCCCTAAACTGGGAAAAAGCAGCCATTCTCCGCCTAGTGTCAGATTCTCTTACCCCTAGGTGGTCACACTATGCGCACCTATAGCTAATCTGCAGATACAGAAGCACCTCCAATGCCTCCCCCTTTTTTTTTTAATCCTCACCTGATTTTGAGAGAGAGAGAGAGAGAGAGGAGAGAGAGAGAGAGAGAGAGAAACATCAATGTGAGAGAAAAACATCAAACCCTCAACCTAGGTATGTGCCCTGACCGAGAATCAAACCAGCAACCTTTTGGTGCAGGAATGATGCTCCAGGCCATTCCAGCGACAGCCACTCCCAACTCCCTGGGCCGGTGGCCCTCACACTGTCCTCTCTGAGCAGCAGAACCCTTGTCCAAGAACACTCATAGCAGGTCTCATGCCCGTTTCAGAAAAGCAGGCACGATGACGATGGGGAACCCAGCTCTCCCCACCTGCCACCGCCCCACCCCACCCTAGCAGTGCCAAGAGCAAGCTCAGAAATTCTCAATCGTGGGACCCTGGGAAAGTGCTCTGACCAATCTTGCTGTGTCTCAGTTTCCTCATCCATAAATGGGGACAGTAACAGTGCCGCCACCCTTGTCCCAATAGAGTTGTTGGAAAATTCAAGGGGTCGGTGCATGGCAAGCAGTGAGCACCGTGCCTGGGCAGAGGAGGTGCTGTTTCACTACGTCGTCCTTCTCTGTGACCTCCCGCCTCCAGCACGGTGAGGAAACTGAGGCACAGAGAGGAAAGCCTTGCCCAGGCCACCCTTCGCTCAATCTGCAGCCAGTCTTGGGCCTCAGACAGCCCTACCTCATGCCAAACACCAAGCAGGCAGAGAACAGCCTCCTGGTCACCCCACTCCAAGCATCTGCCTCCCACACCCCTGATCGGGCCTGGCAGTCTAGGCCCTTCAACCTGTGGCCTCAACGCCCCCAATCAGGACTCGTTTCCCCAAACCCCAACATGCTGGTGTGCACAGCCACAGGCTCCCGCACTCCAGTGCACCCACGCGAGAGCCTCCAACAGGCACCTGTCACACCCGCAATGCTGCAGCCTCCGCTGAGGCTCATGGGTCTTCCAACCCCACGGTCAGAATCCCCCCAGGCAGCCTCGCACAGTATTGAGGGAGAGAGTCTACTGTATGCCGCTGGCACGGTTACTTCCTTTAAACAGCCCTGGCCCGTGTTGCTCGATGGTTAGAGCATCCGCTCACACACTGAAGGGTCTCAGGTTAGATTCCAAGTCAGGGGCACAGGCCTGGGTTGCAGGTTGGATCCCCAGCCCTGGTGGGGGAGCATGTGAGAGGCAACCAATCGATGTGTCTCTCTCACATGGATGTTTCTGTTTTTCTCTCTCTCTTTCCTTCCCTCTCTCCCCTCCCTCCCTTCCACTCACACTGGGAAAAGAAAAAATCAATGGAAAAAATACCCTCAGGTGAGGATTAAAAATAAAGTCCTTGAAACAGTCCCCTGGGCAGTAACATTCCAGTTTCATCCCCATGCTGAGTGCCCACAGGAAACCAAGAAGTGAGGCTCGGTTTCTCCACCTGTAAGAGGCGGGGCCTCGTTCATTGCTGGAGAGGGCCAGGTGAGACTTCACCTGGACAAGATCGGGCAGAACAGCATCAGGGGGAAGGCCAGCCCTGGTGCCAGGCAGACCTGGTTCAAATCCAGGTGCCATTCCCAGCTTTGTGATGAGCAAGTCCCTTTACAATCTAAGCCCAGCGTCTGGGTTTCAAAATGAGAGAAGCCAGTGCATGGTACCTCCGTGGGAACGTGTGATGTGATGCATGTAACCGGCATGGCACACAGAAGCACTTAATAATAATAATAGAAACAACAATGGCTAATGACAATACAGGGTTTGAGCACTAACTCTGTGCAGGCACTGTACATATCTTAAACAGATGCACCCTTGTAACCCAAGTTTTCTCCACCTCAGCACTTGCTAACATTTTGGGTTAAATAATTCTTGGTTTGGGGGCTGGCCTGTGCTCTGTAGGATGTTTATCAGCAACACTGGCCTCTACCCACTAGAGGCCAATAGAACACACCTCGCTGCAACGACCAAAAATGTTTCCTGACAGGGCCATTGTTTCTGGGGGGCAAAATTGTCCCCAGTTGAGAACCACAGCCATAACTCAATGAAATAAGTGCCATCAACACCCCCATATTACAGATGAGAAAACTGAGGCACAGGGTAGTGAAAGGACTTGCCCACAGTCCAATAGCTGGCAGATGGTGGCTCTGGGACACGAGCTGGCTACCACATTACCATCCTTTTTTATAAAGGTCGCTCCTGCCCCACGGTGCCCTGTCCATCTCCCAGGGCCTACCGCCAGCTGCAAGTCCCGGCTGCGAAGGACAGCAGAGTTCTTCTCCTCGCTGAGCTGTGCCAGACGCATGGCGATCATGTAGTTTTCATCCTTGAGCCGCAGCAGCTCCAGGCTGCCCACCTCCCAGTCTTCCCGCAGCCGCTGGCAGCGCTCCTGAGCCTGCTGCTGCTCTCGCAGCCGCTGCTCCAGTCCTGCCCGCTCCTCCTCCAGCAGCCGGCCTCGAGCCTGCAGTTGCTGCTCCCGCTGCAGCTGGCTCTTTCGAGCCTCCCGAAGCCGCCTCACCTCGGTCATCAGGAACTGGGTCAGGCCCTCAGGGCCCTCCTCATCTGCGAGACACAGTGGGGAGAAAAGCCAAGTCAGGCAAATAAAACCCACAGGGATAGCAAACTGCCCAGAAACACCCAAACCACAAAAACACTAGAAGAAAACTCTGGAATATGCAGGGTGTCTCAAAAAATGTATACACACTTTAATAGCTGATAGCTCAATTTTGAAAATGAAATGTATTTTAATAAACACTGCCTTTATAATTACTCAAAGTGTGTATATATATTTTTGGGGAACACCCTATGTTTTTATAATTTAGGGGTAAGGAAGGCCTTCCTAAATAAGGCACAAAATCAGAAGCTATAAAAGAAAAGATAGATAAATCCATATACAAATATTAACCTTTCAGAATGATGAAAGATGTAACAAAGTTAAAAAAAACAAGCAACAGAGCAAAAGAAAAATACAAGAATTCAGAGCCACAATATATAAAGAGCTTTTACATGTCAATAAAAAAAAAAAGGCAAACAAAGAAATAAAAATAAGGGTAAAAACTATCAGTAGGTAAGTCCCAAAACAAAAGTGGTTAATAAATAGGCCCTACTTCACCATTATAATAAAAATAATTGCCGAAACCGGTTTGGCTCAGTGGATAGAGCGTCGGCCTGCGGATAGGTAAGTCCCAAAACAAAAGTGGTTAATAAATAGGCCCTACTTCACCATTATAATAAAAATAATTATAGCCACTAATATTTAACTTTATTCTTTGGGCTAGATACATATGTTAATTTATTTAATCATCATGACAACACTTAATATAAGTACTATTATTATATCTACCCTAAAGACAGAGAAACTGAGGCACGGAAAGGTCATGTCATTTGCCCAAGGTTTACTAATTTGTAAGCTATGAATTATATCTCTCAATGAAGTACAAACTTAAAAACATTATTTTTGACATATCAAACTGGCAAAAATGTTTTTACATCCCCAGGATGCATGAGGGTACAGCAAAATGGACACCCATACACCGCTGGTGAGATGTACGTTGATTTCACATTTAAAATACACATACTCATTGAGAAACTTTACTCCTCAGAACCTCTCCTCCTGAGATATATATATATATTTGCACAAAGATGCACACAGAAGGATGTTCCCAGCATCGTTTGTAATATTTCGAAACTGGAAACAACCTAGATGTCCATCAACAGGGGACCATTTAAGTGTCTTGTGGCAAACATCACTAATGAACACCATGCAGTCATTTACAACAAGTGTAACAGATGTGGGGAAAATCAGTTGTTCTGAGAAACAGCGAAATACAGAGCAGCACATGTAGGATGATCCCATGTGTGTGTGTATGTGTGTGTGTGTGTATGTGTGTGTGTATGTGGCACATGTATAAATGCAAAGAAAAGGAAGACTCCACGAAGGGTTACCAGCAGAGCAGAGCTTATAAATTCAAAGTAAACATCATTACATAAAAGGGTACGGTCTTTTTTTTTTTTTAGTTTTATTCATTTCAAGCGGGCCGGATCCGGCCCGCGGGCCGTAGTTTGCCCACGGCTGACCTAGATGTCCATCAACAGGGGACCAGTTAAGTGACTTGTGGCAAGTATCACTAATGAACACCATGCAGTCATTTAAAACAAGTGTAACAGATGTGGGGAAAATCAGTTGTTCTGAGAAACAGCGAAATACAGAGCAGCACATGTAGGATGATCCCATGTGTGTGTGTATGTGTGTGTGTGTGTATGTGTGTGTGTATGTGGCACATGTATAAATGCAAAGAAAAGGAAGACTCCACGAAGGGTTACCAGCAGAGCAGAGCTGAAGGAAGAAGTAAAGGTCTTTCCTTTTTATTCTAAAGTCACCTGGACTGTTTGAGCTTTTTGCATAAGAAACCGTACACCCATGTATGTCTGACACATACATGCCTGCAATCAATTTTAGGGGCCTTGTTCTGAACTCTGACTAACTGGATTAGAATCCCAGCCCACACTCAGCCTGCTCCGGGGCCTTGGGCAAACCTCTCCGGGTCTCTCTGTGCCTCAGTCTCCCTATCTGGTCAACAGGGATCATGGTTGTGCCTCCCTGACAGGGACAAGGCAAGCGACCTCTGCCAGGGGGTGGGAGCTGCGGCACCCACTGCGGACCCACTCACCCAGGATCATGGAGCAGCGCTGGGCGGGCTCCTGGCCGGTGAGCAGTGTGAAGTGCTCGGGGTAGTAGAACTCCAGGGCTTCCAGGAAGGCCTCGTAGCCCCTCTTGCCACGGCAGCGCAAGATGTCCATGAGGCGCCCTGGGAAGTGGCAGGAGGGTGCCCAGGGTTCAAGGGGAGGGCTTCCCCCAATGCCTAGCCAGTCCCCCCCACAGTATTCCAGGGCCCACATTCCCCAGATTTTTTAGACACTGATACACACAGGGGCCTGTCTCAACTCATCATGGGGAGAGCCCGTCGGCCACAGCCAGGAGAGCCAGGAGCCCCCCCTCCATAGCACCTGAGCTTCAACAAAGTGCACACACACACACACACACACACACTCACACTCACACACGCAGGCCCAGCAAATGCTGCCTGCCTTTCCAATGGCACACCCACCGAAGCCCCCTCTATCGCCAAAAGCGAAGTAAAATAGCTCTCCCATGGGCTAATTCCTGCAAGTCCATTAGACCCTCAACCCTCTGCCAGCCCTGGTTCCAAGACCCGCGCTGTGGGAGGGCACCCTTGCTCAGCGGGGATGGGTCCTGAGCGCCTGGAGGAAAGTGAGTCTCCCAGAGCAGAGTGGGGCACAGAGAACTGAGGAAGCCAGGGCGCAGGAAGATGCCAAGGGCACTGGCTGTGACCCGGAGGTGCCTGGCCGCCCTGCGACCACATCCAGACCCCCCCCCACCACCACCACCACCCCTCTCTCTAATGTGGCCCGGGACGTGGGCGGAAACCCCAAGGCAGACAAAACCCAGACGCCGCTGTGGGCGCCGCGGACTGCTTGGTCCTGCCAGCAGTCGGGATGGTGGGCACACCGGCCATCCCCCTGCGGCACAAGGGGCAGAGCTGTCGGCCTCTGGCTCCGGGCCT